ATTGTTTTTACAAGCTACAGAATATGAAAACGGCAGAAGAGCGTACATTTGTTGGCCCATGCCATCGATATCATAGATAAAAACAAGGTCTACGTCTGTTCTTAAATACTTTTCGGAATTAGATAGAGAATCAAAGCGCGTGGGTCTGGTGGTAAATGAGGAAAATCAGCGCATTCGCGCCTTGGCACCCACGTCACAGTTGACAGTTATAAGTTCGAGAAGGTATAGAATTCGCGTACTTGGGAACCAGTATTTGCACCGATAATAATGTCAGCATCGATATCCAACGTCGGATGTCCTTTTTTCTCATCAACCAACAACTGAATAATTCGGCCAAAACATTTCAACATTTTTATCTATTTCGCTATATTTTAGGGAAAAATATGGTGCAGTCGTCAAATTGTATACGGCAATTAGTTGAAACACACTAAAATAACATAACTTCGATTCTATTAAATACAAAACTGGTCTTTTGTTCTAAAATTTTTGTTTTAACTTGATATACCTATTAATTTTTCATTTGTATTGGAAACTTATGATTTTGATGGCCTTTTTAAACTATCCACATGTACAGAAATATGCGCCACGTTTTATATCATGTTTTGTTTATGTGTTTTAAATTTCAGCAAATAATTTTTATATAGAGAATTTTATCTAATTTAAAAACATATAACTATGTACTTATGTTCTTTTGAATGCTGGTACTTTTTCTGCTAAATTAGTAAATTTTTGTTGGCAATTTGGTACAAAATTATAAAACTCAACCCTGGTTCACGTGGTCCAAAGTTATCCCACAACATACATACAAAAAATACATACATATATATGTACGTATTAAAGTAGCTAAAAATTTGTCCAAAGCATACGTCAAAAAAATTTATGAAAAATCAAACATTTTTGGGCACCTCCTTAATTGACAATTTTCAGGTTTTTCGTTGCGTTTTAGTAGCCCATTGTAAAAGACATATATGTACATACTCACTATATGCACATGTGTACAATTTTTTAAGGATATTTGTAAAAGTGTTTTGAATATAGAAATATTTTTTACCAAAATTTATTGGAGCATTTGACGCTGCGAGTGGCATATGATATCGCTGGTACACAAATATACATACATATGTACATAGATTTTAGCGCTCATAAGCATATTTTTATGCAAAAACTTTACAACAAAAACTCATGCACAAGCCAATATACATATAGAGTATATATGCATACATATATGTATAAATAAATACTTACATATGTACAATAAATGTACTCTTTTACTTTCACTTTTTAGTCTCACACGCGCACGCTAGTGATGGCGGATGTAAATGACATATTTTACATTAATTTGTGTATTTACTTTTTGCTAAAATACATTTACGTATATACATATATATGTATGTACATATATGTGTTCGTATGGAATAATAGCTTATGTCGGAAAGCTGGCTTTCGTATAATGCGGCATTCCCTTTATTCTTTAAACGACAAGGAATTTTTTGCTGGGACTTAATAAGAATATTCAATATTGACTTGCTAGTAGATATCGGAACTATTTCTTGCACGCTTATTTTCCAAAAGTTTTTCAACGGCTCGGCGGACAGTGTAAGATTTGATCCATCTAGCTGCTTTTAATTCTGTAATTCGAAAACTATTGAAGATAGGTTGATGAAATTTTGCACAAGATTGCATTATAAGATAGGCGAAGCTTTTTACAAAAAATTGGTAATTTATAGTTACTGTCACGCCACCCTATTATATAACTGCAATTTTTAAAAATGCAAAAACTGAAATATTTAACTAACTACAAAGGCTAAAATGCCCAAAATTAATATTTAGAATTTCCCTATAACAAGGAATTATAAACTGTCAGAAATGGACTTAAAAATAAATATATTTTTTTTTAATTATGGGCATGGAAAATATCGATAAAAAAGTCAAGTTGGGTCAACAAAATTCCGCTATAAGTTCAATATTTCTTACTCTATTTACAAAAATGGGATACCATTGGAAAGGTAATGAATCAGGCTTTCTCTATTCAAAGCAAAAATATAAAAATTTGTCGCAGTCGAGATAAAATGCAAATGAATTACTCGAAGAAAATGAAATTCCCAGTAGGCCAGAAAAAAGAAAATTTCTTCAAAACCTGCACTTTCCAGCAACTAAGATTATGTTGTTTAAAATCTAAGAGGAGTGGCAAATAAACTGAGATGCAAACTTTATCGAATAAAAATAAATTTAAGTTAACATCGTTTTAAGTAACATGAAATACTCAGTCCTAGTTTACTAAAATCCCAAAAATGTATGTTCATTAAAAGGAACATACCCAAGCAAATAAGACCAAAATCGTATTTTAGTAATTGTTGCATAAATCACATAACACCGACAAAATAAACATTGAGATTCAGTTTCAAATATACAAGTTTAAATATTATTGCGCTCGGTAATTTTCCAAATCAAACCCCGTCCCGCCATACACTTTGATTTAAATTTTTTAATTGTTATTGTTTCGTCTTTATCAGGCATTTCTAAAAATATTCTTGACGTTGTTTTGAAATTTGGCGACATAAAATTATGTAATTAATCTGTTCTAGAATATGGAATTGATACTCTGTGCGGCGGTAGTGACTCATTCGCAATCGTATGCTGTGAATGCTGCATTACACTAAAGCCAGCCTTTCGACATAAGCTACTATTCCTCCATACGAACAGATATATATTTGTAGGTGCATTTGTAAGTGCTGCACTTACATTGCTTTTGACAGGCTGTCAAGTAAGTCGTCACCCTGAGGCAAATTAATTGAACATTTTTAGTTTAGCGTTTTTTGATTTTCAAATGTACACACATACATACCATCAACGAATAAGGATTTACTTCTTCGAAAAAAGTTGCCAGCTTTTAACAAAATTAAGGTCAAGTTATATAAAATGTCAAACCAATTATTACGAAATGGGTATCAATCGAAATGGGTTTAAAAAGCTTTGTTTCTTAACTTTATTGTAGGAGCGGTGCCACCCGTTTAAAAAATTAAATTCTGCTTGAAAATTAAGGGAATATGGTAATAGAAATATGTATGTATCACCATATGGGCGCAGACGAAAAAAGTTTAAGAAGGTAATATGTAGTTTGTAAATATTTTGAATAGGGTTGCCACCTGTTTGGAAAGTCGACTTCTGTTAACTTATACACAATGAAATATTAAAATATTCGAAACAAAAGTGTGTTAAGAAATCTTTAGCTTTAACACTAAGAAAATGTTTGCGGTATTTATAGAGGGTTGCCACCCTTTTAAAAAGTTAAATTCAAATGATTTAATAAGTTTAATGAGTTATTAAAATATGGTATCAATCGAATTGAGTTTGACAAATCTTTGTTTCTGAACTATATTCGGAGGGTTGCCACATGTTTAGAAAATCATTCATCAGTTAGTTAAAATATGTGTCCCAATGTCAGACGAAGGTTATTTAAGAAGGTTTTAGCTAGAAACTACTTTTTTTTTTAAAGAGGGTTGCCGCCTGTTTAAAAAGTCGAATATAATAAACTATTACGCAAACTATTTGAAATATGAAAATACGGGTGTCAAGCTAAAGCGTGTTAAAAAAACTTCAGTTTGAACATTTAGAATGTTGGACAATGGTTCCCATTTTCAAAAAGTGGCAATAAAATTATTTAGTAACAATAGTAATAATAATAATAATAATAATAATAATAATAAATAGTATTATTCTTTATAATTCACTAAATTCCAGGTAGAATGGTTTCATAAAAAAAATTAGCATATAATTATAAAAACCTTAAGACAAGAATGACAGACTGCAATATAGCGAGAGAACCAGTTTGACGGAATAAAACATAAGTTTATGGCTCCCTTATATTTCATGCCTATTTTATAACGAAAGTGCTGCCACGTTTGTACGAAAAATTGTTTTTGGGCCAGAGTACAGGGAGCCTCTTATTAAATTAATGATGAAAACACCGAAGATCGGGATTTAATCTGTACAAATATGAAAGTCCCGATTATACATTTTAAAAAAGCTTTACAGCAAAAAACAAAAACAAATCGATTTAATAGTTTTCCAAATATATCGAGAACGGGGCGATGAAAAAGTTTGAAAAAAATACACATACACACATCAAAATTCTCTATGAAAAGAAATATTTAAAAAAAAAAATTTTTTTTCAAAAATTTTTCACATACACATTTTTTGTTGAAAACAAAAGTTTTTGAAAATATGCCATCTAAAAAAAATTGAAAAAAATCACAATGGTAGATCTGAGTATTGCGCAATATTTAAGTATAGTATTATGGGGTGCGCTCTAAATAAATTGAGTTATGCACTTTTTTTTACACCGAAGTTGAGTAAAATGAGTTCATTACAAATTTACAAATTTTTAAATTATTATTTTTGAGTATGGACGTTTGTAGCCCATTAAATTTTAGCAAGTTTTAAGCTACTGTAAAATTGCGTTGATGTTTAATGTTTTTTATGCTGACTACTTTTTGCACTTTCTTTATTTTGTAAGAAAATGCGCTAAACCGTTTTCAAAGAAAATTTAAAAAAATTAGCGCAGGTTTTTGTTTTTGTGCTGTAAAGTTTTATAAAATGTATTAATCAAGCTCAAATTTCATATTTATTTATTATTTATGTTTATGCATCAACCCTAAAAATTTGAAACAAATCAAGCACACGAAGTGTGAACCCCGTCCGTTTCGGTATGGAACATCCCATATATTTATAAAGTGCAAACATACATATTTACATACATATGTAATTAAAATTTCCGTTAAGAGGGGCTTATCTCCAAAAATTTCCCCACATTACCACATACATTCCCCCTATTTTTCCGAATTATCGGTCGTCGGTGTTCATTTTCGCTTACGAAATTTCGAATAAGGGTACGAACAAAAGGAGAATAACGTCTTCGAGTTATTCGGATTTAGCGAAGTGTAAAACCAATTCGACATTCGAAAAGCAGTGTACCATAGATGGCGCTAACATGCTTGCGGCTTTCAATCAATTATCACCAATCCAATCAGCTGGCAGGCGCTCGCCGCTTCTACAAACAGCTGATAATTTATTTCATCACAATTTAATTGTATAGAAAAAACTTAGGAGAAGGAATTTTAGAGTTAAGTGTAGAAAACAAATCTACCTCAACGGGAGCAGGTCAATGGGCCACCAAGAGTAGAAATGTCTTCGTCAATAGTATGCATGTAAACAACCAGCACTTGAACTCCGCGACAAGTTACTTAAAAGGGTCTAATTGGAAACACACGTTCCGGCAATAATTGCCGGTTCCAAAAACTGAGGATGAATGTTTCCGACTTTATCATAGGCGGTTCCGCCTCCGTCGGTGCAACTTTCTTCACAAATCCAATTGAGGTTAGTTCAAAGAGAATTCCATTGCAATTTTGATGTTTTACTTTAGATATAACAAGTTATGCCATATGTAGGTATGTGTGTTCATAAATACATATATGATGCAAATATAAAAAACGACACAAAAATACGCTATGTACTATTTCACCATAGTATGGCTTAAATATTGAATTAAGGCGGATTCATCGCTTTAGTTCAGAACTAGAACGACGAATCCGCCTTTAATATCACTGTAATCGCTTGAATATTGTTTTCTGTCATAGGTGATCAAAACGCGTATTCAGCTTCAAGGTGAACTGGCAGCACGTGGGACTTACGTGGAACCTTACAAAGGCGTAATTCGCGCCTTTATTGTTGTAGGTCGCAATGAAGGATTAACCGGTCTGCAAAAGGGATTGGTGCCGGCGTTATACTTCCAATTTATACTAAATTCTTTTAGGTAAGTTGTGTTTATTACTTGGTAAATATTTTCTTTTATTAAAGATAATTATAGATTAGGCCTTTACAACTTGGCGATGGAAAAGAAATGGATGCACAGGAAGAATGGTGATATATCAGTTTCCCTGGGCTTATTTTGGGGTGCATTAGGTGGCTGTGTCGGCACATATTTTTCAAGTCCATTTTTCCTGGTAAAATTTTGCTTTTGGTGCTTTCATTTATGAAACGGATTTATTATGCTCGTACATATGTGTATATATGTATGTACGTATATATGTATACACTATCAATAACAAAGCAATCCATTTGTTATTTGATAAGAATATGTATGAGTTCTTTTGAAAGTACCCAGTCGGCAAAATTATAAAATGAGAAGCCCTCTGGGAGCACCCATTTCGGATCTTTTGAAGTGGTAGGCCTTCCGTGCTCGATTCCATACTCCTTTTCATTTTGTATGGAATGGCCAGTGTTCATAGGCCTTAAGCTTCCTTTAGAAGGGAGCAAAATACCTACATGACACACACCCATGCGTCTACTGCAGTTTTTTCCATTTTATTGGACTTTGGTTGCTTTGGAAACACCTTCAGGTCGGCTTTCGAATGGCAGTGCTATTGGAAGAATAGAATTCACGAAAGTTCGGAGAACGATGGTCTCAGTCATAGCCCTGAATAAAGCTTCTAAAGAGTTGGTCCTATTAAAAAATGCCTTCCTGAAGGCGTTTGTTTAGAAACGCTCCTCATTTTGCCGACTGGGTAACTACGTACATACGTACAGATGTATGTATGAATGAATATATGCATGCAAGATTTCATAAAAAATGATTTTCTCGAAAATTTCTTTTAAACATCATTGTGTAATATTTTAGATAAAAACCCAATTGCAATCACAAGCAGCTAAGGCCATAGCAGTAGGCTATCAACATGAACACACTGGCACTTTTCAAGCTTTACATCAAATCTACACTCAAGGCGGCATAACTGGGTTATGGCGTGGATCAATGGCTGCTGTACCACGTGCAGCTTTGGGTTCAGGTGCACAAATTGCAACTTTTGGCAAGACAAAAACAATTTTACGCGAAAATGGTTGGGTAACACAACCGACATTGAATTCGTTTTGTGCTGGCGGTATTGCCGGTTCTATTATGTCATTGGCTATAACGCCACCAGATGTGATAACAACGCGGCTGTATAATCAGGGCGTTGACGCAAGCGGAAAGGGTATCTATTACAATGGCTGGTTGGATTGTATTGCAAAGATCGTGCGCAACGAGGGTCTGAGCGGTTTATACAAAGGCTTTTGGCCCAATTATCTGCGAATCGCACCACATTCTACACTAGTACTGCTGTTTTTCGATGAATTGCTAGCCATTAAAAACAAATATTTGAATTTAAAGCTCATTTAGGATAATTTTTTTAGGAAATGATATGTATATTTATGAGTGCTATTTTTTAGATGAATGTGCACATTTTTATGTACAATTAAGTTCAAGCCACTCTTTTATTTTTTTGTTACAAAAGATTTGTTGTATAAATTATAAAAGTTGTTATACTGTCTCGTTAATTGTTTAAATAATGCAAAAGTGCCTTTTAAATATAATAAAGTAAATATATACTGTATGTTCAAGCATCACAAAGAAGTAATTGGTTAGAGGTGTTCTCTTCCAACCTGCACGTAACTAAAGTAGCATCTTCAAACGCGAATAAAAAGTAAAAATAAAAAAAATAACCAGATGATCGCTCGAACGAATCGGGGATTAATTCAAATAGAAATAATATACATAATTATAAAACATAATGGGCGCTAACACAGAATCCATCGTGGTCCAATTTTTTCGTGAAATCTACGAAAATGCGATCATTGAATCTGAATTGCTACGAACGCGTGTGTTCAAAGTAAAAGCTACATTCGTAGCTATTCGGATTCAGTGATAGCATTTTCGTAGATTTCATGAAAAATCGCACTACGATGGATTCTGTGATAACCCTGAATAAAAAAGGTAAATGCCAAAAATGAACGTTAAATAAAATTAAAATTAAATAAAAAATTAATAGAGTGAAAATATTTAATTTAAAATTAAGTAAAATGGATTGAAATTAAAAAAAAAATTAAATTTGAAAATAAAATCTAAGATAAAATGTTTGTATCTTACATTTTGTATGTATATGGCCGATATACATGCATACAGACATGTATGCACTTATGCATACATATGTATGTACATATGTGGATGTTTAATAGACAATCTGTTGCACAAACGCTTTTTTGGCTGAAAATTCTAAACAACGGAGGCAAAGACAAGCAAACGTATAAATCTTGCAGGGTTGCATTTACCGTATTTAAACATATTTTTTACATATGAAAGGATTCGGCCTACATGATTTTTTTTTTTGGAAAAATATGTAACTGCTATTAATAAAAAACAAGTGCACATGCATAAGCATTCATATGTACATACATATGTATGTATAATAATCATATCAACGCATGTTACTTATACGCCAAGTAGGCCAAAACGTTTATATATTTTTTCGCCTCCACTGTAAACATATGTTCGGCATTAAGTTCTCTTCCGGTTCATCGCTAAAAACTAACAATGACGTAGTTAGATAAGTAGTGACAAAATTGTTGATAAGCAGTGCCTTACTAGAGTGTAGATATCAAAAAAGCGACGAATGTTAAGTCGCCGCTATATAATAAAAGCTGTATACTCCAGCAGGGAAGCTGCTATATAAATTTGTCTTGCTTGAACAACACAAATTGTCAAGTAATGGAGTTGTATCAACATCTTACCGGCAATAGCTAAAGAAATTGCTTATCGAGGATTAAGTAACACAAAAAGTACTTAAATAAGTAATCGGCAAAATATTTTCAATATTCAGTATGAATTTTGCTGATTTTGTGATTGGCGGTTTATCATCCACGGGTGCTTTATTCTTTACAAATCCGCTTGAGGTAAGCAATAATAACATTTTCACTTCACAAACACACACATGCATCATACCAACGTTTTGTTATACTAAATTATTACTTTGTTTTATGAGGTGATTAAGACACGCATTCAACTGCAAGGAGAATTAGCAGCGCGAGGCACATACGCTGTTCCCTATAAAGGGATTTTGCATGCCTTTGCAACAGTTGTTAGAAATGATGGCTGGGTCGGACTACAGAAAGGCCTTGTGCCAGCAATGTACTTTCAGTTTATTATGAATGGAGTACGGTACGTAATGATTTTTAGATTTGAAGCCTTGAGAGTCAGAGTAGGCCACCTAAAAATAAAAATAAAAATTAGGTACAGCTTAAAATACATTACTAGAATCGAAACGGTAATAGCAACAGACAGGCACTTTTAGCTTTATTTAAGTGAATCTTTCAGTAAGAGACCGCATTTATAGATCCTTCTTTCTCATATTACCAGAAAAAAAATCGTCTCGATAGGCTCCTCTCTAGCACAATTTCTCTTTAATCAATTAAGCTCCTGGTACGAGGTTCCGAAAACAAATTGTGTATTTCCGATACACTCTTTAATAATAACATTTCATAAAAAAATTACATTTTAAAGCATTATTTGTATTTCCAGTTTGGATATATATAATACAGCAGTCAACAAGCAGTGGACACGCACGAAAGATGGGGTAGAATCGTTTGGTTTGGGCCTCTTTTGGGGTGCACTTGGAGGTGCAGTTGGCGCCTACTGCTCCAGTCCGTTTTTTATGGTTCGTATATTAACCAGCACTTAAATATCTAACCTATAGTACATATGTCTAAATATACGTTGTATATAGATAAGGAAATGCATCAAAATGATGTACATATCGTGTTTAAAGTACAAAACCGCGTATCAACAGAATACAAAACCGCGTGGGTGAGGTTGCATAAACTATTTTCTAGAGAGTAAAAACGCTCATATTTGAAAATGGTTCTCTTTTTTATAAAACAATCGCATATCTGGCTGGTATATTTCAGGACGAATGGATACGCATTGAGGTAAAAGCTTGTTTGCGCAAATCCAATTTGTGGCAGCAAATGTCAGTTATGCGGTTTTGCGGAATGACGATACGCGGTTTTGTACTTTAAACGATGATATGTATGTATTTCATTACTTAAGATATCATATCTAACTAAATACGTTCGGGGAAAATTTATCTCATGATAAGGCTGAATATGTTTTATAACGGCATTTTTTAATTGGGGCGGCACGCGTTTGAAAACCCTATGAATATTTAATTAGGATTTTAACAGGCATTTCTGCAATTCACTTTTGAGTCAAATTCACTTTGAATTAAAATTGGCATAGGTTGAAATTCACTCGGATATGAATTGCAGAACCACCTGTATGGCGATTAAAGAGCAGCTTAAGTTAGTGGTATAGTTATGAAACGCAGTATATATGTACCTATGTATAATTGTATGGAAATATGTATATGCACACATACATCTGTAGTTAGTATATATTTTATATGTCAATTAGCGATTGTTTGTTCTTTCATTGTTGGCGGTGCTTGCAAAACCGTCGTTCGTCATCAAATATTTATCTGAAATATGCCATACTGTTGATGACTTTAAATTAAACATAAATTTTTATAAGTTGTAGTAGCTTAAGATATCATATCTAACTAAATACGTTTAATTAATTACTTATAATTTCCACTAATGTTGTGTTGTGTCTTCCTTTTTACGCAGATAAAGACACAACTACAGTCACGAGCTCCAAAACAAATTGCTGTTGGTTATCAGCATCATCACACTGGCATGCTCAATGCCATACAACGTATTTATCGGCAAGGTGGCATTGCTGGCTTATGGCGCGGCTCTCTAGCTTCCATACCACGCGCTTCTATTGGTTCTGGCGCACAAATTGCCACATTTGGCAAGTCGAAAGCACTGCTGCGCGAGCACAATCTAGTCGTACAACCCACAATGAATTCGCTTTGTGGTGGTTTCTTAGCTGGTTGTATTGTAACTTTGGCCATTACACCGCCAGATGTTATAACAACGCGGCTCTACAATCAGGGTTTGGATGCAAATGGCAAGGGCTTATTATATAGTGGTTGGTTGGATTGTTTTTTGAAAGTTGCACGCAGCGAGGGTATATACGGTCTATACAAAGGCTTTTGGGCAAGCTACTTGCGGCTGGCTCCACACTCAACACTGGTCTTATTATTCTTCGATGAGCTTTTAGCTTTAAAAAAATAAATATAAAATTTTGTTGTAGTGTTCCTGTTTCTTTTAAGCGTATAGGGTGCTTATAAGATGTTTGTATGATTTTATTTTCAAATAAATACGTCATGGTGTAGATTTTAGGAATTCATGAAAAATTATGATTTAATATCGTCCCCCTTATGCCAGAAGTATGAATGTGCAAATTTAGCAATTTTGAGTTATTGGGTTGATTTTATAAACCTTTGGATGTTTCGTATTAGGCAAAAACCTAGAATATCATGCGTACACGGCAACGAAATATTTTGCTATGTCAATTACATGAGGGTCATATGTAGAGCTAAGTCTCATAAAAAACTTATGATATGTCTTCCCAGAGGAAGTTGTTAAACTCACTGTAGGGTTGTCGCGGTCGAAACACGATAATGACGTTGAACTCAAAACATTTTTCAAAAACCAAATAAATGAACAAATAACGTCAAACTTAAAAAAAATGGCAAATACAATTAATAAGCTCTATAAGGAGAAAATTCTCTGTCTAACAGACTGATAAATACACCAAAAATGGCGAAGGTATGCGTTTTTCCATCTGTCGTTTTGTAAACCAATTGAATGTATTAAAAAAAATTGTATTGCGTTTCCCCACAAAGTTGAAATTTTGAAATAATTCTCCATCTTATTAAATGTACCCCTAATTGCAATTTTATCGTAAGCGACAAATTATCGAAAACATTTTTTTTTTGCTGCAAATACGTTACAAATATTAGTTGCAACGTCCTACGTCACAGACTTTGAATATTTACCGTTACGTAAAAAATGCAAAATGAATTGTATCGTTTGCTTTATTTCCAATTTGAGTTCCTACAATTTTATCGTATTAGGGAATTTACATGAGGCAATTTTACAGGCAACTTTTAGTTGAATGCGGCAGTTGCCTGGTGTAAATTGCCTTTCAACTAATCGTTTTCTATGAAGTTGGCCAGCTGCCTACTTTCGTTCAACTTTTGATTCAACTAATCGCCTGTGAAAATTGAATCATGTAAATTCCCTATAAGCAACCTTGTTCGTGCAGAAATTAACATATTTAATCCTTTCTTCTGTGACTGGCCAGATATAAATTTTATCAGTGCACTTGCACAATGTTCCAGAGACCGAAAATAACAGTTATTTTTTTACGAGTAAATTAAAAAAAAAAAAATTTATCATGTGAAAGAGGACTGAAATAGCTTTTAAATAGAAAAAACTAACCGCCTCTATTTATATATATAATTTTTTTTTTTATATAATTTAATACTAAAAAATTCATACACCTGATCCAAGGTTTGTTCTATAGTAATTAACAATTTTTATTTAAATATTTTTCAATAGGAGGCTTTGCTCGTTTAGACATTTCAGTTTTAAAGCTATTTAAGCTCTCCTTCATTTGATACCAAACTTGTTTAATTTTGATAAGCGGTTTGTTTATTATCCGGAAAGAACTTTTATTTCGGAATAAAAATATTAGACCAAGTTTAACCCGTAAAAAAAAAATAACTGTTATTTTCGGTCCTTTCAATATTCGCATTCGCAAAAGAACCGCATTGATTATTGCGGATTGATTATTCGCGGTTGCGAATGCGATAATTAATATTAATTAATAATTTTCGAAAATGAAATTTCTAGTTAAGCGAACCGAGCCCCGACTTTAACCGACTGATGAAGTGACGAATCGAAATTAAGGGCAAATAAAAAATATAAACATACTTTGATAAAATGAAAAAATATCACATGACTCACCATTTCTTTCGAATAAAATTGTACATGCAATTCGTCGCAACAGCATAACTATCGACATGCGAAGGACCATCAATTATACATATGTATGTATATGCATATATATTTACATACATACAAATACATACTCCTAAATGCACTCAATTTACTGGCACTCGTTTTCACATCTTTTGCTGCGCGATTGCCTTTTATATCTAGGCAGCGTCACCATTTTGTAAAATTAAACTTCAATGACTTACAAGCACTTCAATGCTAACACTTTTCACAACACAAATAATGAATTATATATAATTATTGAAATTACTACAAAGCACATATACGCACATTAAATATATAACTTTTATCATAGATTTATAAAAACTTTTCACTTTAATCGAAAAACCGAGCGCTCGAGCACTTTATCCAACCGACGATTTAAGTAGAACTGAGGATACGGAACTGCTGATCATAGGAACACAGAGAGAAAGGAAACTAATATTAAAATAATTATTTTCCCTTTTTCGATTTCCCATTATTAGCAGCGTTGACACCAACCAACGCAACGCAGATTTTGCAAACACAGGAAGATACATGCGCCGAGATTTTCAATCGTTTATTCAAGCACGAAAATGTATACATATACGTTTTGAATTAAAAGTAATACTTGAAATTGAAAATAAAAGAACACTATTTAATGAAACTGGGATTTTACGCAAATGTATGTACATATTATATATATGAATATAGAACTAATTGGTTTGTGTTATGGCTAGATAATTTTTGATAAGCGTCCTACCAAATTTGGTGCCAGTGAAAATTCACGCTTTCCTCTCTGTGTTCCTATCGCCAACAGTTCCGTTTCCTCAGTCGAATTAAGGCTGTCGATTGAATTAGTTGTTCGTTCGCTTAGGATTTGGTTTCGGGGAGAAAATGATTCGAGTCAATTTGTGAATCAAAATAAGTGCGCAAGTGTTTTAATTAGAGTTAATGCAGTATAACGTGGTGTTTTGGTTGAATATGTGCTCTTTTGTAATGTGCAAAATGTAAGTGCAAAAGTTTTGAATAATGTTGGTCGCAGCAGTGCCAAACCACAAGATGGCGGCACACCCAAGTAAAGAAAGTTGGTTGCGCAGCGAAAAGTACGAGCCTATTTGCGTTTGTATGAATTTGTTTATGCAGATAATTATGCCGGTATGTAACACGAGGCGACAATTGTAATATATTATTCACAATTATTTTAAAGATAAATTTTTGGTTTTCGTTGTTGGTGTTTCCGACAGGGTAGGAGTGTGATGTAATGTGGAACGATTTTCCGTCATCCCTTGTCAAATTTGATCATCATCATAAATTTTTGGATTAATTATTTACGAAAATATAGTTCATTTTATAATGGCTGCGTTTCTTTATACATTCCGGATAATTCCATTTCACAACCAGAATAAACAGAATGCGATTGAAATATACGTTAACATATCATCAGGAACGTTCTAAAGAATAAGTAAACAAAAAAGTTTATTCCAAACGTTCAGAATCAATAAAGAAATGCAGCCAATATAAACCATATAAGTCAAAGTTTCACACTTTATGTGAAGTTCACAAATATTCCAAAAATTTTCATCACAAGTTTTTACTTAGAATTTCTAGAAAATTTGCGAGTATGCAGTTTTGTAGCCCATTGAGTTGTAGTCTGATGAGGTGCGAGTTTCAACCGGCTAAAAAATTGCGTTGATTTTTGATAAGTGTTTTTTGAGACTGCGTTAGCGGTTTTTTAACCGACTTCACAAAAAGAGGAAGGTTATCAATTCGTCGGAAATTTTTTTTTATGTATGTGGTGGTCCCATACTAATAAATAATCATGCATAATCTAATGACTAAAACCTACTTCAGAAATACAACAAGTCAAGAAAGGCTCAACGGTCTAGCATCTATGAATATTCACAAAGATATTACTTTTTCAATTGACAAAGTTCTAAAAGAAAAAAGTGAAAAATCTTCGTTTCATTGATTTATAAGTAGAAAGAAAAATTGAATGTGTTTCTAAATTATTAACATGTTTTATAAATAAAGCGAAAAATTGTTGAATGCATTTAAAAATTTCGTGTTTTTACACTTTATTGCGCATACTTTTTCCTAAAGAACCCTTTTTCTAAACCCATATTACTGAACTGTTTTTCTTCGATTCGAGTCAGTGGAGGACCACAGGGGGCCTTAAAATTCACTTTTTTTAAAAAATCCTTACTTATGAACATCCTTCGTTTATAAATAGATTATACAACATAAAAACTATCGCAAGCGCCAATTATTTGATAACTTTCCTCTCAGCATGAGCAGGAAAAATATCATAAGCGCCATTTTTCCATAATAAAATATGGTATGCAAAAAATAGATAGTCCCATTAGAAAGCTATCATTCAATAATATTGTTGTCCTTTTAAATCCAAATAAATTTTTACACTGTTTAAGGGAGAACTAAAAAAACATCTCTCCTGAAAAATTTACCTTTCGTCGCTTACGATAAAATCGCAATCAAGGGTCGGTAAATACGCGATTCCAGCGAAAAGTCTTTATTACGCGCCTCGAACAGGCCCATAGGAAAATGTATACATAAATGATTAGAATGAAAAAATAAATCTATCAAGCGGTGACTGTCTGTGCGTCCGTCCGTCTTTCCACCTGTGCACACGATAACTCGAGCAAAAATTTAGATATTTTAACGAAACTTGTACTTCCTTTCAGCGTAGGACGGATGGTATTGAAAATAATCAAAATCGGACGATAACCACGGCTACCTCCCATATAACAGTAGTTTTCAAAAATACGAAAACTACAATATTTTAGTAACTACTGAAGCTCATGCACTCAAAATTCATATTTACAATGATTTTTAGGTGAAAAAAGATTACATGTATATATCTTGGCAATCGTTTCACCAATTTCTCCCAAACTTGGCATAGTTGTTGGTCTTGGAAAATCATAACAAACGGCTAAAAAATCGGACAATAACCACGCCCACAACCCATATAAAGATATTTTAGGGAAATACGAAATCTTCGATAAGTCAATAAAGACTGCAGCTAATTTATTCAAAATTTACGTTTGCAATAATTCTTTTGCAAAAAATACGTTTATAACGGTAAATTTCAGAAATGCTTGAAACTTCGATACTTCGAAATTTAAGGATCTAATTTACTCAAAATTGATACTCACAATTCCATAAACTAAAAAAAAATAAATTCCAAACTAAAGTGGGTTGGGTTGAGCCTGCACGTGGAGGTGGTTGATATCGCGGGGAAGTCTGGGTACTCCAGGGTCTAGTCTGAATAGGTAAAAGTTTATCCATATCTAAACGAAATTTTCCATGTCATGGCGCTCAGTTCAATGTCAATATCCCCTTCCCTAAATAACAAGAAATTTTATCATTACGCTATTTTAAACAGAACACAAACCAGTGTTTATTTGAAACGCATGTTTTTTTTTTTGAAAATGATCCTTTACATATATACTAAATTAAATACTTATTACATTTTATTTTCGATGCATTTTAATGTATGTAAAACAAAAATATATGTATGAAAGTTTGTGATGAATCAATAAATCATGCTAACTACAGATTTTCTTCTGTCATTATCCTCGAATACCAACTGCATTTGTATTTTAATAAAGATTTATCGAAGAAAATAGGGATGGAAAGAACAGCATATACGCAACTGTTTTTCTTTCGAGAAAACATAACACGAAACAAAATGTATAATCGCACATTAGGAACCACCTCTAAATGAATTGCTTTTAGCAAGACATTCCACTTAGCAATAGTCGCATGCGCCGCTACCGCCACACTATTGGGATATCCTTTAAGGTACACAACGTGTGGTTGATAAACAGGCGTTGCAACCTCTTTACAGCATGCTTACTGAGTTTCTCCTTGCACGCGTACAAAACGATTCAGTATGGCTAAAATGCCGGCCATAGCGTTTACGCGACTGTCGGTAGGGAGACGTCGCAGTTGCTCGACCAAGTGTGCAGCAAATGCCGTATTATCCTCGAAGTCGGTTAACTCCAATTGCAGGGATTTGTGTGCACGATAAGCAGCAGTAAGCGCATTCTTTTTTGCCTCAGTCATTGTAAATGTGTGGTGCAAAAAATCTCTTGCCGTATTGGAAAAGAATTTGACGCTAATAATTGTACACAGGGCGAAACTGGACGAAAGCAGAATAGTTTTTATGTAAGTATTTACAATGTATTTGTTATTATCTTACCGTGTAATATATTTTCAAGTTTTGGTTGATTATTGTATATATTTTTGTCCACCTTTTAACAAATGCACAAAATGTTAGAAATTGGCAAATTTTTTGCAATCTGCTTCTGCTACGAATAGGAACGTAAACAAAAAATGACGTTTTGAAAATGAAGTTTGCTGACAACACATAGGCGTTGCCACACAACATTTATTTAGTTATAATTTAATTTCCAGGGTTGCATAACAATTCGGATCAACATGTTGCGACATGACCCAAAAATACAACCCAACCGACGTTAGCACCAGTGATCAGAGCTCTACCACATTGTGGTAGATCGTCCACTTTTTTGGCCATCTACAACATCTACCACTCAAGGTATGAAATCTACAACATATTCGCGTTTTTGAGAAGTATCATTTTTGCTCGACATAATTTCCTTAATTTTTTTATTTAACTTTGTTTAATTTTGATTTTCGTTGTTTTCTTTGCTTTGCTTACCCTCTCAAAAAATCGACTTTTTTCACTCTTACGTTCTTGCGTGATCTTGTGTCGTTCGTTCATGATGTTGCGGAGCAGGGACTGGAGCAAAATTTTACGCATGTTTTTATTAAAGACCTTTTTTTATCGTGCACACGCTTTTGGACGCAATAAGCCAAACCTATTTTACAAATAACCGAACCGTACCGTTTAAAATAATATTAGTAGCTCAGAAGAGTTATTGTTTTTAAAAACCTATTAACTTGGCATTTATATACAAACATATGTATGGATATGGAATTTATACACGCAAACGGCAAAGCATTTTGAAGAATTTATTTATGTTTCAGCAAAAAATTGAAAAGCGTTTAGAGAAAAGCGTTTCAGAAAGCAATTGCATGAGCAGTCATACCTTGCATATAAAGTATCGTTCGAAAGCGGTTTTTTATTCCATAAAGGCCTGTATGCAGCTCTCAAGAAAAGCAAAACCTCCATATAAAATGACGTACAAGAAATGGCTAAGAAATTTTCTTGAGTCAAATTTCCTTAAGGCAGTACGCAGTGCTTAAGAAATTTACTACGCTTTCTACTACGGTTTTCTAAAGTTTTTTTTTGTGAAAAAAGAGCACAAGGTAACCCAGGTTTGCAGCAGAAATATATGCCCGTTCCATTATTTCTTGAGGAACGAGTGAGGCAACAGGCTGTGAGGTATCAAAAATGTCAAAATTCCTTGGACACATGGCAATTTTTTCTTGACCGTTTTCTTGAGAGCTGCATACAGGGCTTAAAGCTGAAATTAGTCAAGAACGTAAACCTACCGGTACGTAAACCCGAGTCAGCTGACACGATCTGTCTTACCAGAACGCCATGTAAATGAAAACTCAACACCACAGAATTTTTCTGTAGTTGTAGCCCGTAGCGCAGAAATCTGCGGAATTTAGATTTTTCCGTGTCTGCTGATTTCTTCCTTCTATAGATGGTTGCCACTTCGTCAGTTTCGCAGGTGGTAAATAAGTTATAAGTTCCTATTCAAAACACGTTCAAAATAATTGAAATTTACTATTGAATAAAGTTTTTTGTTGAAAACTAAGTAGGTTATATTTAGCTACGATCTATTATAGCACGAAAAATTGTAGTTGAAAAGGTAAGTTTATGAAAAGGCATTGCTGAGTGGCAGCACTGCAGTAAGCAACACTGAAGGCTCAATAATCGACAAAATTCTGTGTATAAAGACTGCGTTTAAGTATAGGTTCTGCGTTCTTGACTAATTTCAGCTTAAGGCTTTCTACTACGGTTTCCTAAAGTTATTTGTGAAAAAATAGCACAAGGCAACCCAGGTTTGCAAAAGAAATATATGCCCGTTCCATTATTTCTTGAGGAAAGAGTGAGGCAATAAAGGCGAATTGCAGATTGCTGGTGCAGCACGAGCAAGTTGAAATATACTTCCGAAATCGATTTGCGCGCTTTGAGTTGCCGTCACACTTTGCAACTTTCATTTCTGAAACTGATTTCTGAAAAGTGACAGAAAGGTCTTTCTGGCTTTTCACACATGTAAATAAAATTTATTTCTCAATTTGACAGCGAATTGCGTGGAAGTCTGACATGCTCTATACTGACACATATCTCTTAGCTCTCTCCACCGGCAAATCTGCTTGCTATTCACGTTACTCTCCCGAATTTCACATCAATCAGCGCAATTTTGTATTCTATCGGTCCGATGTGTATTTTAAAATGCTGCAAGCTTTTTCACAGTGTGAACAGAATACTACTTTGTTGAGGAAATGCTGTGGAATTTCGTATTTATTTCATAGAAAGAAACTATCAGCAATTTGACAGCTTTTTCACGTGAAACAGGAACAGAATAGTATACTCTATTTCCGAAATTTGACAGCGAATTCGACATTGTTTAAGAAAAATCGCTCGTGTAAATGGTGATTCAAAAATCGCTTGCCTCAAAGTAGACAGCAAGTAATTATCGCCTATCGAAAAATTGCCTCCTGTAAAGGCAGCTTAATAAAAATTCAAGTTAAACTCCTGAATTCCTCTCTTTAGCAATATTTGCCATCAAAATTGTAGATGTGAGTTGGCATCCCATATTAGCATGCACGTAGTAAACAAAAGGGAATTGCAATGATAAAAACTGCTGGCATTTGTAAAAGTAGAACGACTCGTTGGTGCAAAATATCTTGATAAAATAAAAAAGAAATAAATAATTAGTCTAATTAATTCATACTCAACTGTTAACTCAATCAGTGCGATATTCCGTAACTGCTGCTTTCACCTTTTTTATAAAGCTAAAAGTGTCTCGGCCTTGAGTGCAGTGCGGGCGCTCACAAGATGAAAACAAATCCACAACTTTGTACACAGCTTTTAGCATTGATGCTGCTTAGCACATGCCATTTAAGTGATGGATATCGAAATAGTGAGTAACCTTGTGTTTATTAAACTAATATCTTTTTAAACAACTTCAAAATTTAGTTATGCTAAAGGATTACTTGTGCGCTGACAAGTTTCTCTTAACACTACAAACGCCCTTTCGAGGTCACCCCGCATTTACGCTTACTGAAGACCGCGATTCAGCAGCCACCATTACACAGGTGTGGAATACTACATTACCTGGGTTTTATTCTTCCAACAAACTGAAATATGATTGCCACTTTCGAGTGCAAACATCTGAACGACCACCCCGCGGTATATACACCGTCATTACGCGTCTCAAATTTCGGCGCGACCCAGTGACAAATACTTGTCTTGATTACATACAATTCGTTGGCGGGAATCGTCCACCATCCGAAAAGATATGCAACGAAATAGCCATAGATGGTCCAGCGGGACGGTTAATATTCGATCATCGGGATCGTGAAGTTAGCATTCACATTTACATTGATCGACGTCATTCGATCAGGGAACCATTAGAACTGCGCATGGTGCTGACAGCGCATTCCGAGTGCAAATATACTGGCGATTTTTTGTGCGACCCTAAGGATCAATACTCATGCATTTCCAGACATTTTGTACGTGATAATATAACGAATTGCATGTATCCGTGTCGGGATGAGATTTCCTGTTTTCACGATGGCATCACCCCGGACGAGATGGATACCACAAATGTAGCACTTTCTGCACTGACGTCGTTAATTTTCACAATGCTTGGTGTAGGGTTTTGCGTATGGGTTTGTTGGAAATATTGGAACTGCATAACCGTGCAACAGCATGCACATGAAGCGTCTGCGGCTGCACTACGTAGAGGGCAAATAGTGAGTATTTATTAATAATGATTCATTATTAACTTTGTGAGTACGAGAGTACATAAATACATATTTCATTTGGATAAGACTATTCACGCCTTCTTGTATACGTGACTTTTCAAAATTCGAACAACCGTGATTTGAAAATGCATACATATGCGCATATATCGCACACCGCCTTTAAAAGAGTCACAACTCAAAACTTGGCATTTTTGAGATTATGCGATAAAAATGTACGCAGAGCTTTTATTTTCCTTTCAGCAAAAGCTGGAGCAAATTTTTGTTATAATTTGTTAAAAAAAAAGGTAAAGGTAAAGCGCCCTTGCCCATTTGATTATCATGTGCTAAGAAATAGTTTTTCGCATTTTCTGACAAACGTTTTATTTTGAGTTGTGACCCTTTTGAAGACGGTGTGCGATATGTAAATACATACATACTTATGTACATATGTCCATATCGTCGTTTAAAGTACAAAACCGCTTATCGTCATTCTGCCAAACCGCGTAACTGACATTTGCTGCCAAAAATTGTATTTGCTTACACAAGCTCTTGGCTCAATCCTTATCCATTCGTCCTGAAATATGAGTGTTTTTAGTCTATAGAAAATAATTTATGCAACCTCACATACGCGCTTTTGGATTATCTTGATACGCGGTTTTGTACTTTTAATCGCGGATATGTATGTATATACGCTATTATACACAATATGCACGTTTGCTTTTTAACCGACTTCAAAAAGGCAGGAGGTTATCAGTTCGTCGGAATATTTATTATTTTTTTGATGTATGTTCGATATGTTTCGATAATTCAAGGGTGGTCCCATACTAATTTAGTTTAGATACGATAATTGGATAGTGAAGAAATTAACGACAATCTTAAATTTTTATATGAGAATTGAAGTTGGTTTTGTTTTTTGCTTAAAAATTACTTGTTTACATAAAATCTTTAAATTTCAGGATACCCCGGTAATTGAGTTACCAATTGCGCCATCTTTTAGTGATGCTATTACCACAAACATTGGACATGAACTAGATAATCAACGCCAACCACCACAAACACCAAAAGATTTACCACCAAGCTATGAATCACTATTTCCCGATAGATAAGCAGCCAATTGTACTGGTTTTATGTATATCTATATTTAAGGAATCTCTTTTGTACTAATCAAATGTGAATGAGCAAATTTTATAAGTTAATGAACAGTTGTGTGTAAATAATGTGCCAGCAGCATGCTACTAGTTATAACTGCGTATATGCATACACATGGATATACGTATAACTACATGTATTGTACTGTGCTGTCAAAGCATTTATATGTTTTTTGTTTTTACAATCCGTGATGTAATATTGCTTTTATTTATTTATATACATATATATTTTTTGTTAATGTTTGTTAGTCCCAACAAATGTGTGTATGATTATTTATGTTTGTACATATGTATATGCATGTAAAATCGTTAAGAAACGTATCTTTCAAATTGTCCTAAAGCTCAACCATATAAATTTGTTTCGTGTTTTCCTCACCAGTAGACTTTATAGTATGTTGAAAATTGTAACTGCCTTTGAAAATACAAACTATTCAATTATAAATAAAGTAATATACAGACTTACAGAAAAAGTAAACTCAACCATTTTAATATCGATATCAATCTAATTGTATACCAAAGAAGTACTCTTCAGTAAAAATGATATTAAAAGAGATTTACGTACATATGCAACAATTATTTAGATAGCCAATTATTCATTGTAAATAGAAGGTTTTCGGAGATTTCAACACAAGATGAACAAATAAAAAGATATTGGTAGATATTACATACATAAACATATGATAACTGTTACGAATGCACATGTGTTAGCTGTACCTGTTAAAAGGTCGTTCACTAAAAAGACAAACAAGTGTTAATATGTTACGCACAAAAAGAAAAATAAAAGAAAATTTGTTAGCTGATAGTATAAGTAAGACTCTGTCCTTCTCTTCCGTGCTGCAAATTGAACATTTGATAAGGACATACAAGTATTTCCATGTTTCAACGACTAGTTATTTGTTCTCTATTGGAAATTTAAACACAATTTGAACTTAAAGTGGCTTTCGTTGAAATTTATTGGGAAATTAATTGCAGATCCGTTCCCATAATATACTTAATAGGCGATATAAAACCAGATTGCTAAAAAATTTTTTTTTGTTTTGCTTTACATGTTTTGGAAATAATTGTTCACATGGAATTTGCGTTATGGACGAATTTTTATTCACCAATGCTTTAATATCCTTAAATTTATATATCTTAAGTGCTGAACACATTGAAAACGACGAGCTACGGGCCATAGCTTCCAATTTGTTATTTTCATTATCATCATCATGAATTTGTATGAGTTTGACATAAGAGAAGAGGAAGAACCTTATCTATCGCTGGAAAAATAGAAATAGATCTAATCTGGTCACAACCCCAGTCGTCGCCAAAATAATTATCTACATCATAAGAATACGTGGACAAATAACTTGACAGCTGTGGTCTGTAGCTCGTAATTTTCTTTGTGTTCAGGGTATAATTGTACGAATTTTAATTTAACGGCTATTTTGTATATATTGAAACTTTTATTATTTAAACTTGAGAAAAATATTGTGGCATGTAATTTTCTTCATCACACTTTAAATATGCATTAGATATTACTTTTTTAATGCATTATGCTCGTTTCATACTGGACATTATATAACAACAAATTTTAACGACAAACTTTGGCATTAAAAACCAGTGTCATTACGTCAAAAATTGAAAATCCTTAAAACTGTTTCGTTTCGTTTTATTTATAAATTCCTTTATTGTTTTTACATAATTTGTTTTTTTTTTGAGTTATTTTTATTTATTATTATATTATTTTGCTATATTTTAAGTGCACAATTGAATTTAGCGCCCTACCGCTTCTAATTTGCATATATTTTGCTAACTACCTACCTACACTTTTACAACGCCTAAAATTTCGCAGTCTAAGCCAATACTCAAACTGAAGAACTATAGTATGTATGTATGTATATGTAACTAATACTAAATAAGATACGGTTAGTGTGAATTTACTTTGTATTTAAAAAAATTATACGTCGATTGTAACGAATAATACATTAAAGAACAAAAATAAACTAAATGTAATTAATCAAAACTACCATAAAACTAATTGTTTTTTAAGACGTAATGAGATTTTAAGTTCGTGCCTAACCGACCTTTTATAGCCGGCGCACGAATTCAATAAAGGCATCACATTCGTTTCGCATTTTAAAAACATGCCGATACGGTAAAAACCGGTTTTTCTATTAGAACGCTTTGCAAAATTAAATCGCTGCATATATGTACATAAATATGTATGTGTTCATACACTTTTGTATGGACATATTCATTCTTACTCATTTATAAATAATACATTTCTCAATAATTTTATAAGGCGTCATTAAGAGTCATTTTCAGTATTATGACTCATCAAGTCTACGAAAAGTATGTACATTAGTGTGGTCTAAAAATGAATGTAGAAAAGTAAAGGTGCAATTTTTATGCTCTCAGCCCTATTTTTTATTTTGAAATCAAAAAATATTTAGAGGTCGCTCAAAGCGCTCAAAGTCTTCCATGTATTTTATACAAAAAAAGCAGTGGGTATTCGGTACATAGCAATCCTAGGGGGTGAGAGCATTACAATTTTTGTTTGTGCTCCATAATGTATGTACATACTACCTGTTTAATATGCCGTGATCAACAGTTATTTTGTTATGCGATCGATTTGTGCTACATACATACATATGTATGTACGTTAGCGTAGTCAAAAAATTTAAAGTCGGTAGTTTAATGCTCCCACCTCTTAGGATTGTTCTATACCGAAAAATTTACTCCCATTTTTTTATTTTGAAATCAAAATATATTTAGAGGTCGCTCAAAGCGCTCCATGTGTTTTATACGAAAAATGCAGTGGGTACATTTTTTCGTTATAGAATAATCCTAGGGGGTGAGAGCATTAAAATTCCGATTTTTTTAACCACCCTAATGTATATACAATATGCCTTGATCCATGGTGAAATTATGCCAGGTGTAATAATAAAACAGCCGACAAGTCTCGGCTGGTATTCCTCAGCACTTAGAAATGGCCGGGACGCTTCGAGAGGATGCAGGTGGGCAAAACCCACATTGCCTTTAATTCGGAAGGTTCTGCCAGGTATTTGCTTTCATTGAACAGTTGGAAGAGCAGACAACTTCTGGGACTGTTGACTGGAGACAGCGTGTCACAAACACCTGACAATAGTCGATATAAAAGACAACCTCATTTGCCCTTCCTGCTTGAAGAAGATGTGACCGCAGAACACCTTTTGTGTCTCTGCCCCGTCTTTTCAAAAATTAAGTTTCAGATTTTTGCCAGTGATTTGCTGAAAGACGAACACTTGAACTCTTTGACACTCAACAATCTGTTTCGATTTATTCGCAAATTAAGTAGATGTAAATCAGATTAAAAGAAACATGAAAACAGTAAATTAGGCGGCCTATGTGCTGTTTGTTTTTTCACGCGTTGTTTTGTGTATTTAGTTCCGACAAAAAAAGGGGGAAAAAAATTAAAATTAAGTTTAAATTTCGTACAAAAATGTGACCGTACCGAAACCAAGATTAAGGACGGTTAGGTTTAAGAAACTTTGAAATTGTAAAAGTCGAAATTCTCACGCTTTAAAAAAGAAATATTCTAGAACAAAATAATTAGTAATACTATCGGTCAAAGTTATCGAACGCCATGGAAAGCATGACGCACTTACTTTCTTTAAGATTTTATTCGTTTACATTTAATCTTCGGCGTCTTCATTTTTGGAAATGCAATTACCTTACCTTAACTTAACTGGTATGTATGGCCAATAAACAATTAAGAACGTAAACATGTAAATACGTAAGCCTAAATTGCCGTTGTGGCAAAAATTGAGATTTGGTTACCCCTAACTCCAGGCATTGCGTTTTATGCATAAAAAACCACTTTTTTGCTTTCCTGAACAATTTGAGTGCCGTAAGATAGGCGGTATTGCAAAAACATCGACCATTTATAATTGAGAAGTCGCCGTAATATAAATTTAATTTTGATTCTTATCATCGGTGCGAGTGCATTGACCAACGTATCGACTTTTTAGAGACATGCAACTTTTGAATTGTAAAGTCGGACATATGCAAATTGCGTCACGTACGTACATACATACATACAGTATCGGTCATATCTATAGCACGCCATTTATTTATTTATTTTTAAGAATTTTCAATTAAAATTTAGTTCATTCTCGTACAAACCCCATTTATACCAAAGTTCAACAATTTGTAGAAACCTACAAAAAAGTGTAACAAATTTTCACCTAAATTTCAAACTTTTTTCTCAGAAGTGATAGAATTTTGAGTACACAGTTTTTTAGCCCCTGCAATTTAAGTCTGATAATGTGCAAATTTCAAGTGGCTACGAATTACCGTTAATTTTTTAGATTTTTTTTTGTCGCATTGGCTTCCATATAATGAATTTAATTTATTTGTATATGGAAGAAAACCGCAACATCCTTGGCGAAAAAAATTCTAAAAAATCAGCGGTAACTTTTAGCCACTTGAAACTTGCATATTATCAGACTTAAATTGATTGGGCTATAAAACTGTGTATTCAGAAAAATTTAAACACTTCCGAGAAAAAAGTTTGAAATTTAGGTCAAAATTTGTTGCACTTTTTTGTAGGGTTCTATAAGTTTTTAAACTTGGGTTTATATGAGTTTTGTTAGAGAAAAAACTGTATTTTAATTGAAAATTCTTAAAAATAAATAAATAAACATAAATGGCACACAATATCACTTTGAAATGGCGTGCTATAGATATGACCGATACTGTATGTACTAACTATGCGTGTACATTAGGGTGGTTCAAAATAAAGTAAAGTCGGAAATTCCATGCCACCCCCCTAGGATTGTTCTGTGCCGAAAAAATATACCATGTTTTTATATTTTGCAATCAAAAAATATTTAGAGGTCGCTCAAAGCGCTCAAAGTTTTCCTTGTACTTTATATGTATGAAAAAAAACTTCGTAGAAATGTCGGGAATTCTTGAAAATCTTCAGCAGAATTCCACTAATAATACATAATTGTTTATTTGAATTTTCTAATATCAACAATTTTTTATGGGCCCCCCAGTGCACCAGAGAATTTTCTTTGGGGTTTTGGGGGACCTATGTATAAAAAAGTCAAAATTAAAATTAATTATTATCGGAAGTCTCTTGAAGAGAAAAATATACCATTTCTGCGTGATAGTGCTTTTTCCCATATAAAATACAAGGACAACTTTGAGCGCTTTGTACGACTTTAAAATATTTTTTTATGCCAAATCAAAAATAAAAAAAACGTAGGTAAATGCTTTTCGGTATAAAACAATCCTAGGGCGTGAGAGCATTAAAATTTTAACTTATATTTTCACATAAATTTTGAACCACCCTAATATATGTGCTAAATGTCAATTAAAAAAAATGAAGATGTGCGTTATTTCAGTTAAGTTAATTTCACTGCTTGACTTAACATAAATCTTCGTGCACAAAGGCCGTGGGAGTTTATGTATGTATGTATATAAATCAGTTTGGAGCTTTTTGGGTTTGGTATACGATTTAGCATGGGCGATCATTCATTTGAGCGCAGAAGGAACGAGACCGATCTGATGGGTATTTGATTTGAGAACATTTTCAATTACAACATACGAAAGTATTGTTTTTGAACTCTTCAATTAATGAGTTCAATTGAATCAAGACTTGCTACCGGTTTCATGTTTTCTTATTGACCGTGATTGCTTATTGTTTGGAGCTTGTAGTAACGTTTTTTACTTTACTTAAAGCTGTGATCTTATTGTTTCTTCTGTTTGCGCTTCGTGTGAGTGCCCGTAAATTGTGTACATATCTACATACCTACATACCTACATACTTACATACAAAAGTACAGCGATGCCGTTTTGCTTAAATTTAAGCAAATTTTATTCATTTTTTCCTGCCTTTTAAAATGTTAAATTTTTGGATTAAAATATCCGTTTTGATAATTTTCCTTAAAATTTCATAGTCAGAAGAGTTACCATTTCAATCAATTTGTTAAATTTATTTTAGGAAGGCTGTCCTCCAGCACCCGTATAGAGTTCCAGGAAATGTTGCTCCCTGAGCC